CTCGCTCGTGGCTGCGGGGACGCCTCTCATCCCGGGCCGCTGCCACGTGGCGTCGTTTCCCGCTCCCCCCGCCGCTGATCTTGCTGGCGGCGGTCGCCTGGCTCGCGGCTGTTGGGTCTCGCATGTTGCGGGCCCTGGGTTTGGGGTGACTGCTCTTGGATGATGCGCAACGTTTTTCTCGCACTTGCGTAACGCTCCATCGCATTCAACACCTAGCTTCTCGCACTCCTCTCGTTCTTGCTCTAGTTCGCCTAGGCTAGTGTTTGGTTTTTTGGATTTGTGGCTTGGTGAGGCAACGGCAGACTTCGGGCGCGGTCGACGTCCACCGACGTTGACGACCGGTGGCAAGGAGTCGGACTCAACCGGAATGGCCAGATTGTCACTTGTTTGAGGGAGGACGTCTTGACCAGGAGCGGAGGCGCGTGGGAGCATGTTCGTGACGTCCGCCAACACGGAAGAACGTCCTTGGACCCCGGGAATTGTTGGCTCGACAAAGTCCTGCAAAAAAAACATGCTATGTGAATGCTCGAAAGTACTTTTACGAACCGACCTGACTTCAAAACGGCTACTATAATTAATCTCTTCGCTTTGAGTGGACGCTTGTTGACGAATAACTTGCAGAGTCTCGTCCAAATGGGCGCTCTGCTTCCTCTTGTGAGAGACACACGCAGAAATGTCTCAAGGCCACCACTGGAAATTTGACAGAGTCAGGTCTACTGCGAACACGAATGTTTCACGAACGTTCGTGAACAATACGGCAGACCGTTTCGGGGCGCGTATCCTTTTCCGCATCAATCTCACGACCGGTTGCAGAATAGTGATATTGCTAGCATGCTTCGTGACACCAGCAAGCCCAACCGGAAGCCCTTTGTCCGAACACGGTTTCTCACCTCTAGACCTTGATGTGGATGGCAAGCATTTGTTTCAGCTTTGCTGCTAGTTGCCACGGCGCCAACGCTTTGAGAGCTTGCAGTAAAAGCCGCCAAGGTATGCAGTGCTGTATGAAACGAAAGCTCACGTCAGGCAGCTCACATCTGTCACATATGTCTGTGTCCACAGCACGATGCTCTTAGGAAGATATCTAGATACCCCGGTTTGAACTGCGACCTCACATCAGTGAAAAGAACCTTCTAGGGTGCACTGTAGAAGGAAGCAGGTGCACTCTAGTCTCTAGAAGGAGGCAACGAGACCACGTTGGTACATCGTTCGTGCCTTACAACGACCCCAGACAAGCGCAGTAAACTGAGACAATACTTCAACACCTGCAGGCATATTTTACGTGGACCAACAGTTCTCACCCGTCTTGACCTGGATTTCAAATCGCCTGTCCTCCAAAAGCTCGCTTGTTTTGTTGTGCGACTCGATTTCCTGCTCGAGCCGAGCGCACAACGTCTTCTGGCTCTCAAGCCTTGCACCTAGCAAGCGAAGCTCGTCCTCTGTTTGCAGCAGGGACGTTTGTGTGGCCTGCTTGGCCGCCCTGGAAAAGACGGAAAAGACAGTTAAGATGTTTACACTTGTCATTATTTGCTGCTCAAGCAGCTCCCGAAATGAGGAAAAACAGGATTTCCAAGTTCGACGGCGGCCCAATACTAACACAAAGGTAGATAAAAAATCCCAGGGCTGGTCTGCACCCTTCCAAGGGTTATATTCAACATGTGAAGCCGGCTCGTCGATTCTTCTGATGTCCATTTGGTCACAGTCCTTTTGGTCACAGTCGGGCTTAAGGTCCGTTTACCTTGCATCATTGCACAGCTTTGTGATTTCTCCCATCTCTTTGGTGTCATAAGCATCCGGACATCTGTCAAAAAGTCAAACTAGCACTTTGTCAGCAAAGCGGCAAACATTCCGACCTATAATTTCAAATGAGTTTGTCGACGCTTGGCTTTTAGCAAGACTGCATCAACTCACTCGATCCATTGAACATATTGTAAGGTCCCACTTACCTCGATTGCACATCAAAAAGAACTTGTTCGGTTGCACTTAGATACGATGTCTTTTTGCACACCTGCCAGGCCATACCAAGTAAATATGAGCAAACGATGACAAGTAGTCCAGATGACCCTATTCGCATATGACCAAGCTAAGGCCAATCTGGATAAGTGACGAGCAATCTAGGAAAGGCGGTTTTTTCAAACTCGATCACCTAGTGCGACATACATACATAGTAGGATCCAACATGAGTTTAAGGTGTTGATCTCAGTTCGAACTTACCGAAACCAAAAGGTCAAGTTGCTGATCTGACTTGACACTTAGATTCGGGTCCTTCAATCTTAACACTCGGTTAAGCCCGCCGAGACTGATTTCCCTGGACATACATGAAGTTGCATGTGAAAACTTTACAAACGTTGTGAATGCTCTGTTGCCATCCAAAAAACTAACGCATAAGCCAACAACTAATCACTGGACAGAGTCAACCGATGATTGTGTGGCAATTCATTGAGAACGTACCACGCAAGAGAAATAGTGCATGTGAAATAGTGCTCTCAAGAACTCCCGAGAACTCTTTGTAGCATTTACAAGAGAAGAGGATCTTACCGCACTGCATGCTCATTTCGAAGCACATCTTCCCAGGCTGTACGCAGAGCATGTTGCGTTGATGCTAGTCTCCCTAGAAGCACACCTAGAAGCACAGTGAATGGTGTCAACGAAACAAATCGTAGTGTATCTCGTTTGCTCTCGTTTGCTCAATGCCTCTGAATCATCAAACCCAGGGGCCAAGAACACTTATCGCTCCTACGCTAACCTTCTAGTCCAACAGATCTTCACTTGATCTTACCTGGGTGTATTCAGCCCCGACGTAGATGCAACTGTGTGTCTTTTGGAAACAGCAGGTTCACATGCGTCTTACACCAAGCCCGATCTTCAAGAGACAGACAGAAATAAGCACACTATATTCAGATCCACGAGTACTGCCCCAGCAGAAGATGTAGCAATGATAGAGGATGTTGATGGAAAACACATTTCGTTATCGTTGAACTGAACACCCCTGAACACCCGAATATTATCAGTGTCAAGAATCACCTGTATTGAGCGTGGTAAGTGGCTTCTACAGAGTACACAATGATGTGAGCGAATAAGAAAACAACAATTCTGTTGGTAACCTTACCTCTGGTCGTCATCTGCATCCAAGGTGATGATGTTTGCTGGCACTGCCTTCGCTTTTTCAAGTGCCGCCTTTCTGATACCAAAAAGTCGTCCTGGATGTTCATCCTGCAATAACAGGGGGTATCCGATGCTGAGTCAGCAAGGGGTATCACCACAACAGCTCATGTAAGTTTCTGTAAGATCGCGAGTTTCTGTAAGATCGATGCTTGTTGGCAGATCGATGCTCGATTCCATCAATGCGGCTTCACCGGACCCCTCTCTGTGATACGTAACTTGAATGAACAGTACTCATGAGTGTTTTAGGGAACTTTGTGTCATCAT